CGACTCGTACACAGGGTGCGGGATCGTTAGCGTGTTTGCCGTGCGGCATCGAACAGTGGAATGCACAAGCTCATCGCGTAGTGCGCTCCTCGACGGGTTCCTCAACAATCATCGGTTTAATTCAGGGGATCCAGGTTCGTCCGATCGTCTTTCCCCTGTGGAAAGCGCTTGTGTGGCGTGGCGGCTAACGGGGGGAGTCTGGGCATAATGGGTCAGATGTTGGCCTCTGTGCAAATTGGGGAAATCTCTTTGGAAGGACAGGTGTTGGTTTCACGGACATTGGCCATGCCCTGTTTGCTGGGCACCGATTTTCTAGGGAGGATGCCCTTGAAAATTCTCATCAACCAGGAGTGTATTGACTTGCCATCGGGACAGTGATTACTGTTTCTGAACTCCCTTGGTCAAGAGCCATCGCAGAACGCTGTCATTCAAGCGATGGCTAGCCAAACCGTTAAAGTTCTTACGGGTTCCCAGATGCTCGTACCGCAGCGATTGCGCAAAGAGTTGCCTTCAACGGGCCCGGAGGAGGGTATCCTGCTAACCCCTTCAAACGCCGTGTCGCGATCTCCTTCCCTGGCAGGGGCTATGACTATTGTATCCGCCGAGCGGATGCCGTTCCTACAAGTGCTCAATGCAGGGCATGCATCGGTTGTCATTCAGGTGGGCACTGTCCTGGCGCACACCTCGGCAGCCCGGTGTTTTGATAACACGGAGCCAGCTCCTGGTTTCGCGGGAAGCGTTGGTAAAACTGATGAGCCGGATTTCCACATGGTTGGAATCTCTATGCTCCAAGAACCCTGGACTGATGGAGGTTCAGTGAGCTCAGCTGCACCGGCTCTTATGCCATGTTTCCGATGTCTTTAGTGCCAGAAAATTTGATATTGGGTGCACTTCTCTCCTCCAACATCATATCAATACAGGCGACTCGCTCCTAATTCCGATAAATTCGCACAGACTTAGCCCCACGGAGAAGGATCAGGTATGCCAGGCTGTGGATAAGATTCTGGCAGCTGATATTATTTCCCCGTCAAATATCCTGTGGGGGGCGCCCATAGTCCTAGTGAAAAAACGTGATGGTAACTTACGATTTTGCGTTGATTTCCACAAGTTGAATAAAATATCGGTGGCGGATGCATATTCCCTCCCTCGTATGGACGACTCACTAGATGCATTATCGGGCGCAGTTTTTTTCAACACTCGATTTACTGTCCGGGTTTTGCCAATTGCCCCTCGATGACGAGTCCAAACCAAAAAACGCGTTTTGCACACCCCAGGGACTCTACCACTTCAATTGTCTTCCATTGGGATTGAATTCAGTGCCAGCCACCTTTCAGCGATTAATGGAATTGGTCCTGGGAGGATTGCAATGGGATTCTTGTCTAATTTATTTGCACGAAGTCATCGTTTTTGGCAGTACTTTTGACAAACAATTACAGTGGTTGCCTTCGGTCTTTGAGAGAGTACGTGCGGCTTAATTGAAATTTAAACCTGAGAAATGTCATTTGCTTCAGACATCAGTTATATACTTGGGCCATTAGTCAGCGCAGCCGGTGTTCCCATAGATCCGGAGATAACCATGTGTGTGCGCACGTGGCAGGTGCCAAAGTCGGTGGCAGAAGTCCGCAGTTTCGTTGGATTTGCTTCATACCAGCGGCGTTTTGTCAGGGATTTTGCCACCATTGCTAAACCACTGCACGCCCTCACGGCCAAGGGCCAGAAATTTCGATGGGAAAAGGCTGAGGAGGATTCCTTCCTTGCTCTTCGCGCTGCCCTTGCCGAAGCCCCTCCACTCGTATATCCCGATTTTACCAGGCCCTTCATATTGGATACGGAAGCCAGCGATACGGGCATTGGGGCTGTCCTTTCCCGGCATAGAGAGGGTTGTGGCTTACGGCAGTCGAGTATTGTCCCCTGCTGAACAGCGATATTGCGTCACGCGCAGGGAGCTAATGGCCATGGTCCATTTCATCCAGCTCTATCGTCCGTATTTGTACGGACGGGACTTTGTCGTCCGCACGGATCATGCGGCCCTCCAGTTCTCCCTGCACATCAACCAGCTGCCTGGGCAGTTGTCCCGATGGCTTGAAATACTGCAGGGATTTTCATTCACAGTGGTGTATAGGAAATGCACTCGGCACGTCAACGCTGACACGTTGTCCCGCTTGCCGGCCCATGGCGCATGCATGTATGCCTCGGGTGCGTCGAGATGTAAGCCTTTGCAAGAGGGTACACCCACGGTGCTTGCGGCAGCCGGGACAACGTGGGATAAGGGCGCGTGGGCTAAGCTGCAAGTTGATGATGCCTCACTCTTGAGATTGCGCCATCGTGCTTTTCGTGGGCCGGGCCCTGCGGGTCGCCCATCCATTGTACTACGCGAGGGACTCCTAATGCGGTGGGAAGGGGAGTCCCAGCATTATTCCTTGGTTGTACCCACCGTCCTTCGGAGAAAACTTACTAAAGCCGTACGCGAGAAATTAATGTACTCCTTCTGATAAAAGGTTGCGCCGATTGTGCACGTCGGAAATCTCCTGCCCTGCGACCGCAGATTCCGTTACAGTCCATTTTTGTGTCACGGGTGAATGAATTGGTGGCCCTTGACATTTTGGGACCCTTTCCGGTCTACTAGAGAGGACACAAGTACCTCCTCGTTGGCATTGAATTTCTGACCTGTTGGCTTATGGCCTGGCATCTGGCTGACCAATCGGCCACATCCATAGCTGACGCCTTTTTATATGGCTATGTTCTTGATAAGGGGGCCCTTGAGCAGCTCCTCACAGATCAGGGCAGAAATGTATCCTCTAAGTTGCTCCAGGAGGTGTGCGATTCTCTGGGCATGCAGAAAATACGTACCTTACCGTATCATCTACAAGTGACCATGGGCCAGTCAGACTGGGATCTGCACATTCCAGGTGTCCTCGCTGCTTACAGGCTAGCTCCTCATGCCTCAACAGGATTCTGACCATTCTACTTGATGTATGGGAGAGAGCCCGAACCCCCGGTGCAGGTTCAGTTGGGCTTGCGCCCTTCTAGGAAGGGGTCAGTGGTGCCAAACCCCATGTCACAGATACTTGAGCAGCTGCAATTGGCCCGCGAGGCTGCTAGGAGCAACAGGGAGGGCCGGGGGTACCTTGGCAAAATGGGGACATGGCGTGGTTGCAAGACCCCGTAGGCACGTCCCCAAAACTGTACAGTCCAAGGCAAGGACCAGTCAAGGTTATTGAGGTCCGGCGGCCGCAGTGTGTACGTATTCGGTTGGGCCAGCGGCGCTGATTCATGCAACCATCGCGGTTAAAAAGATATGTCTCGCCCTGTCCTGTCGATTCATCCCCGCATCCCTTACGGCCATTGTCTGATGTGTCCGGCGCGCCGACCGCCACACCTGAGGAAACGGGACGTGAGGCGGATTGTTCTGTACCGCCTACAGGACCAAGGCGCCTAACGTCCATGGACGGAACATTGAGGACTCCTGCAGCGGACCATTCTTCAAACCCGAGCGAAACTATCTCTACCCGCGAAGACAGTCCTGCTGCATGCACTCGCTCGCAGCGCGTCACTTTCCATTGATATGAAGGACTATTCACGCCATCACATTACGCTTGTCACTGTTTATTGTTGTTATTTCGTTGCCCCTTCCGCGGTCCCTGCTTACAATTACGTATTTTTCATGGGTCGGTCACAACACATGCGCGCACACTCGCATAGATTTGACAGCCAAGACGGCTGCGTTTTTATTCACAGGGGGGGTGGGGGGGGGATTATGTAGAGGAGAGAAATACGCGGTGCGCGCAGTTAAGCGGGTGCAACTGAGGACAAACAGGTGTGCGCATTGCAACATGAGGTTTGCACCGACAAACGGCCAGTAATTAAGGGGAGAAGCGGGTGCAACCGAGGTCGAACAGGTGGGTACGCTGTGACCGGAGGTTAGCGTCGAAGAGACGGGAAATGGGGGGGGTGATGATAAGGGATTAATGGGGCAACAGGCGCCGGGCTGGCGGGAGCTTGAGGGGTAGCAAGTAAGGACTCGGAATGAGGGGGAATATATAGGGGGAGTGTATATAAGCAGAGGGGGTTGTTGCCCGGGAACCAAGAGTGAAGACATCTCGCCGCTGCCGCTCCAGCCGTCGCCGGGCGGGTGTTGACTGAACCCTCCGCCCAGGACAGACGTGTGAGCGGGTCTGAGGGAGCGTAGGTGAGGGCAGCGGTGGAGATGCAATGCCGCTGAGTGCGAAGTTGCTGTGTGCGGAATCGCTGAGTACAAAGTTGCTGTGTGCTGGATAAGTGAGGTGCAGAATAGATAAGAGTGGGGAGAAGTCAAGTTTTTGTGACCGTACAGATAGTTATAGGAGTGCCTACTACTGGCGCAAGAACAGGTGACTACACATGTAATGAGTGCGGTATTATAATGTGTTCGGCAACTGGAAGCCAATGCAACTCTGTGAGCACTGGACGGACATGGTTGCATCTTGCAGTACCCGTCACACGTGCCAGAGACTTTTGTATAAGCTGCAGTTTGGTAATGTGTTTTTTTTCTTCTGCGAGATCTCCTGTAAAGTAGTGAGTTGCAACAATATAATACCTGGTAGCTTATAATATGGCACGAAAACAACGGTTCCTCATTGCTGCTAGGTGCACTGATTGTGGCAGGTTTTTCCACTTGCAGTCCAAGAAGACACAGGCAGTTAAAGAGTCCATGTGTAACCGACTGCGACCCTCGTGTAAAATTGGCTCCCTCAATCAGCACCACTGATTGTTAGGTCAGAGAACTGGCGTGATTGTGCACCCTTCTTGGTCACTGTCTTTGGCATTTTGTAGGTCAGCCATAGCATCTAAATGAAAGTGGTAGTCCTATGAAGACTATGAGCCCTGTTACTGGAATATGACATTCTGTACTGCATCCAGAATGCCATCGTAATGATCACTATAGAAAAGCTTGTTAAAACATGGTTAGTTTGTTTCTGACTGAAAACCTAAACAAATAATGCTGGACTTTACCCAATGGCCATGGCGCAAATTCTTATCTTTATTGTCGTAATTCCTCACACACTAGACAAATAGACGCAAACACTTCTAAAATGTACATTCTTTGGAGGCAAGGGTTGGTGAATAATGCACATTCGTAAAACTCCCAATCTGGCTGGACTGTGAGGTGGCCTCAAGGTTGCGGTAAAAAAAAATGTGTTTGCCAACCTGTCGATGCGGAGCTCTGAGTGTTATACCCTCACATGTGTGGGGTTTCTTCCAGCGTTTTGTTTGCTATCAAAGTCTTTTTCACAGATGTCCAGTTGGGGTGGGTTGGCAGCAAGTTACAGCAAAGATCACAAAAAACGTTAAGTTAGGAAAAGGTAAGAAAGTCACTAAAGTATGTACATAAAATAATAAATGTATCATATTAATAAAGCCCAGCTTGGGAAAGGCAGCAAAACAAAAATAGTCCCAGACCACACCAAGACAACACACAGTATCTCAATAAAATTGCATATAAACATTGAACTATTGATACAAAGGTCAGGATCAAAGTCACACATGTGATTTGTATCCAGCACTAATCTTCCGCTTCAGGATATTTTTGGATGTTAAAGGAGGAAACAAGCTTGTTCCAAAACATTGGTGCTGTAAAGGCAAAGGCTTTGTCACCTATTCCAAAATCGTGTTCTTTGGATAGCTGAAAGGCATTTAGATTGACATCTTAGGTTTCTTGGGTTTGACAATAGGGTCAAATAACTAGCTAAGTATAGCGCATATTTTCCAATAAGGATGTTATGGATGAACATGATCCAATGTAGATTTCTTCTGGCATCAAGTGGTGTCAGATTGGATTTTAAGTATAGACCCCACTGCTTTAGGCCCATAGAATTCTGTTTGTCACTTGCGTCTGCCTATGTCGGTCTCCTCACCGTCCCTTGCTGTATTTCAGTTTTTTCCGTATTTTTCTCTGTGCCCGTCTCTATGCCAGTATTTATAGCCCAGCTAGGACCCACGTTTTTTGCCTCCGGAGCCCCGCTTTGTGTTGAAATTAAATATATTTGCTGAAAATGTAATGCAAATATCCCGCGATTTGTGGTAACATAGTCGTTAGGTCACTGTTCAATAAACCTCTCAACCTGATTTCAGTTCTCAACCGCAGGAAATGTCATTGTTTAGAGAATCCTGACAAGGCTTTTGGGTTCCCCTTCACCAACCCCGTACGGAGCAGCATGAAGCATGGTAAAACCCCTCCAAATCAACACGGCATGGAGAGGCCCTCATGCAGCAGTGGATTAATGAAAGTCCATAACTTATCTCATCAAGTTATTCTGCCATTGTGGAAGCTGAGGACTATATAGGTTAGATTTTTACCTTGACGAGGTTTCATTCTCGTTATATTTTTACGTGAAAACATGTTTCAGTCTTTTCTACAAGTCGAGAATGTGGCCCTTTATTCTTTACATGACATGACCACGATGCTTGTGTTGTAACACACTAAAATTCATACAAATTAATCATACATTGAAAGTGTACATACCATTGATTTGATCTTCAAGATCTCCTTGAATAATTTCCACCCCAATGGGTTCAAACCTGGTAAAAATAATTAATAATCTAGCTTTTGCATTTACTGTGCTGCATCACGTAAACAATTGCGTTTACAGCTTATGCATTCACTTATTTACATCCACTTACAACTAGGTATATTTACACCAAGCCAATGTCGTTGTGTGCCCAGACTACTCAACTGTTGGCATCTCGCATGTCCTGCGTGCCAGATGCCTCATTGCACCATTGAGGCATCTCAATGGTGCAATGAGGCACTGCCCTGGAGTCAGTCTTCCTACCAGACCCGTCTTGTTCACAAGGCCCAGCAAAACCATCTCACTTGCACAGGGATGCGATCGTTTTTTTGTGTGAGTGTTGAAAACGTCATGAGTTTTCACCATGATATTAAAAAAATTCACATTTTACTTTTGCACTGTGTTTTGCATGTCGTAAAAATCATATCAGCTACACCAATAAATGATAAGAAAAATCAAAGCATCACAAGGCAAAACACTGGTCAAGTGAATATTTCATTTTGTTTAAAATAATTCACTCTTTTCATTTGTAAACATGTCAATAATACAGTATTTTTTTCAGCAGCCTTTATTTTGGGGCCTTTCTTGCCAGTATCAAAGTATGAAAAAATAAGAATAGGTTTTACCCTTTCTGGCAATACAACAGGTGTTAAGATGTTCTGGCAAAAAAGGCCCCATGATATAGCTGCTCACCCCCAGCTATGAATGTTCTGATTCGTGTGGCATTGTCTTTGTACTGTTCGCCTTTTGCCATTCTCTGGTCTGACACTGGTGATAATCAAGTCTATTAACCACACGTACCACCACAAGTACGTGTGGTTACCACAAGTACTGTACATGTAATTAAACGATAAAAGATAATCAAGCACTCGTAGTACTTGTGGTTAATGCGAACTTGATTCCTTGCAAAAGGTTTTATTGCCAAAACGGGTAAAACCTATTCCTATTTTTCAACCTTTATTTTGTTCAACATGTACCCCTTCAGCTTTGAGTGTACGCGAATTAGGCTACATCGGTTAAAAATACACATACCAGATTTCCATTTATTAGCTCTCCTAATCACATTGAGCACAGAAACTTCTAAAAAAAACTGTGACAATGGTAGGAATCACGGATGACTTATCGTAGGTAAAATATAGAATAAACTCCATTGTAAAATCTTATCAACCAGCTTTTCTAATCTTGCTTGTGATTGAATTCTGCAGGTTGTACAACAGATGACTGGTGGAAACGGTCACGCGAGGCAAAATCCGCATTCTCCTGCGTGAGCTGCGTTGTTGAGAGGCCCATCGGCAGGAGAGATGGAGTCACGACAAACTGCTCCTTCGGTGCTGGTCCTCTCCTGAAATGAGTGGCACAACAACCAGTGTTCATCAGCTATGGGCACTTGGAAATTTCAGTTTAATTTGACTCGGGGTTTAGGTCACTGATTTGGAGAAGCAGCAATATATGTGGCTCGATCCCAAACTAATTCACTGTCGAGTTAAATATTCTTGGTTCTTTTGGTAAAGTCACGTAGAAGGGAAACAATAAAATAATAGGTTCACATGACATTGACTTCTCCAAGACAGAGGTTCTTTGCAAGCCATCTGGCTACCATGAGAGATTTGTTCCTGAGGCTATCCACATATACAAACACAGAGACAATTTCAACCGAGATGATGGATTCTGGCTTAGCAATCATTTGAAGGATTTGATAAACCATTTCGAGTCTTAATTGATTGATCACGCTTAAGGTGGCTTTCAGACCGCATCCATTATTTTTCGTCTCCCCCCTCCTCTTTTTCGAACATAAATGGACTCGTCCATCTGAACAAACTGTCAAATCTCTCTCCGTGGTGCTAACGTTAAAAATAACCGCCACTTTTTTCACATTTTCTTGCTGTGGTTTTCACACCTGATGATGATTGCTGCTTGTGTTGCAGTTGAAACGTCGTGAGAATTTTATTGTTTTATATTTTTTATTATTTTATTGTTTCCCTTCTACGTGACTTTACCGAAAGAACCAAGAATATGAATACCTGCAGTCACGAAAGCTTTAAATCAAAGTTTGTCGAGTTAAATGTTTTAATTTCTATCTAAATATATCACAGTCAAGTATAGCAAACAATTGTTGCGTTTAAAGTGATCGGTTACAATTGTAATCATTTTCGTCAGCTATGTTCTATCCACTACTAGATGAAGGCCTTACTACCCTATAGCCATAATCACAGTCCCAAGAAGCCACAACCAGTTTCAACAACACCCGAAAACGTGCACTGCATGTGCAAAAGCTCTCAGACTCATCCATGATGCGAAATCCAACAGTTCCTTAAGACATTCATTGTGATTTAAAGCTTGTGTGACTGCAGGGATTAATATTCTTAGTTCTTTCGGTAAAGTCACGTAGAAGGGAAACAATAAAATAATAAAAATATAAAACAATAAAATTCTCACGACGTTTCGACTGCAACACAAGCAATCATCATCAGGTGTGAAAACCACAGGTGTGAAAACACAGGCAATCATCATCAGGTGTGAAAACCACATGTGTGAAAACACAGGTGGTTTTCACACCCGATGATGATTGCTTGTGTTGCAGTCGAAACGTCGTGGGAATTTTATTGTTTCATATTTTTATTATTTGATTGTTTCCCTTCTACGTGACTTTACCAAAAGAACTAAGAATACATTCATTGTGGTTATCTTGTTCTAAGTCAACATTAATACATTGTGTAAATGTGATCAACCAACAGGCAGCAGCTTGACAAAGAGCCAACTGTAGAACGGTTTCGTCCTCAGGGCTTATTAGGGCTCATCAGTACAGTATCATCACCAATGCTCAGTCACCAATTCCAAGTGATATACTTAGCAGCAGTGATCATTTCAGCCTGTGCTGCATTGATGAGTCCCAAGAACGACAAAACCAGTCTATACTTTTTCTCTCTCACTGCTGCCTGTCAGTCACATTTGATATTCGTTTTTCCAGCCTGCAGAAACTTTGTTTTTGTTGCGATGGGTTTTCTCAACAGTCACAGGTTTTAAACAGGTCCCTGCAGGGTGGGCTGGTAGGAACATTGGAATTTTGCGCAATTTTATTTTTACACCCCAACAGCACGAGATTTCACTTCGTTAAAGTATTGAAAGGGGACGGACGGACGGACACATTGATCTATTGCAGGCTGGTACACTCAGTTTACAACTTCGTTACTACCAGTATTATTAATGCCACAACCTCTCTCTCTCCCGCACCATGAGCTGCTCTGATTGTGCCATACATCTGGGGCGGTCAGCCACTCGAGTTTGCTCCCCTGCTTTGGCTGCCATAACATCAACAGTCTCATCCTTTGGCCATCATCCCTTCAGTATATCCTAAATGGTGAGGTACCCTAGTTCACCGAACTATGCAGTTGTAGCACTCATGTGTAAACACTGGTAAGCACAATGTGATTTCAGCATTGTAGGAAACATTGGTTGAGTCCAGCTCTGTGCTTTGTCCTGTACAGCAATCCCTCGCCAAATCGCGAACTTGCCAACAGCGGAATTCACGTACACGTGGTTTATTACCTCTATACCAATTTACCAAATATGCGGCTTGGAAATGTTACGCATGCACAGGCTAAGCACGTGTTCGCAAAAAATGCAGTTACAAATGTTGCGGGGACGACGTTTTTCTCGTGTGCGCCACCGCGCCAATTGTGGCGTTGCGTCATAGCTGCCCGTCTGTTTTGTTGTGATTCTCACAGGGTATGAGACCGACGCGTCGCATTGCAACCGCACACTTAGCTTCTGTTTGTTGTGGGGCTGAGCTAAGTCCTCCTTCTAACCACCCCTTTCCCCTAATTATCCCATTGTCGTCGTCGTCGTCATTGTCGTAATTACCGAAAATCTACCCTCAATGTTAAAAAAGTATGGAAAGTTAAATTAATGTTTTTTTTAATGTAATTGTGTAATGTACAGTATTTTATTCGGTGTTTAGTGAAGAAACAGGCGACTTAGTTAAGCTATGACGATTCTGACCGTGGCTGTGGTCCCCCTAACCCTCTATATTTCCCATAGGCCCTGTATATTACCAAGCGCGTATTTGCCTACCACGGCCTTTCCCAGTAACATAATGCCTGTGGTTGGTGAGGGATTGCTGTAATAGTAAGCAAAATAGTAAGAATATACAGTAATTATTGTTAATATGAATAACAGCACCATAATGATCACGATTTGTGAGCACTAGCGCATAAGCATTTGGCAGCTAGATAGCATGCACAATCCCGTTCACTCGAGCTTGTAAGAAGCACTTACAAGCTCGAGTGAACGTTATTAAGCGCTAGATAAAATTATTATGGGTAAGCACGCATGCTCCGTAGAACTATCAATCACAACCGTTATTAGAATAGTAACATGATGTATTAATGCGTTACCTCACCGTAGCAGAGCCATTTAAATGGAATTGTCACACTGCCTTTATTTGCATATACACGGTCAAGACAAAAAGCGCTGCTAAAAGGAATACCTGAATAGAAAAGCCTCAGTGCACCTAAACCTCGCTAGACAAATTATGTAATGATGCTGCTGCGTTGACAGTAGTGCACAAGCACAATTAACAAACAAACTTATGCTCATCAACACCACTGCCTTAAAAGAAAAATATTAAATTTCATCAGCAGCGTTTCAGGCTATGGCGGCAACCAAAATAACAAGAGCCATTTTTTTCGAATTTAGGAACAAAAACACTATATCAAGAGCCACAAAGCACGTGAATACGAGTCTAAGCGCTAAGAGTTAAGACGGTTTGGAGACTGTATTTGACACCATGGGGCCTTGCGAGCATTACATTTTAAAAATAACTTCTCATGGACCAGTTTTAAAAAGGCATATTAATAGCTACCAAGTACCAGACACACCCTTCAATAATACAAAGTATGACTAAATAGACTCGTATAAAAAAGTAACGTTCGAAAATGTTGCGGGCACAATGCATTGTGAGAAGGTTTGTTCATGTAAGAACAAGGCTTCGCGTTCCTGAGCCAAATGAGCCTTTCAAAAAAGGAATTTCACTGCATATCGTGCTAGATAGGAAATACGGCAGTGACGTATTACTTTAATCAGGCATTGACGTCATCAGTTTACAACTGATTATAATCTGATTTCAGGGAGTGTAAAATTTGATTTTTTACATCACATTAGCTGCACTCGCACTTCTATTCATAGTGCTACAGCAGGTATGGAATGAGTAAATAACTGATAAGTGCTTTTAATGGCCGACAAAATAGAACTTGCACAAAATATGGATTACATTATATTCTCAATTGCACCAAAAATGAATAGTCACTCTTTTTGGTTGTGCCCTGTTGATAGATAATTGAGTTTTGGACATTATTTCTGAAATACGATTACATTACAATGAAGGTGAGAGGTGTAAAATAAGTGTTTGTCTTTCCCCACTTCTAAAAGTAAAAAGTGACACTGGCTCGAATTTAAAAAAAAGTTACACGTATATCAATGAAATACTAAAATTATGTAAGCATTTTTGTAATGGCAGCCAAAGCAGGGGTAGACCACCAAGGAACTAAGCTTTGTAATTAAATCAGCTCATGTGCAGAAGATGGTTTGTGGCATTACGGAACCATAAGAGAAGGCAACAACCTGGGGAGGCTCTTCATCCAGCAGTGGATATATTATCGTTTGCCATTTCTCTTAACATTGATACAATTGGTAATTTGAGCATTTATTTACCTGCACATTCTCAGGAACAAGGACTTTATCCAAGTGAAAAAGTTGAAGTCTGTTGCAATACCTGCAAATAAAGAGTGCAATTTTACGGCAAATAAAGTGCAATTTTAAGCAACGACGTACTAGGTTCTGTCATTTTTCTAAACTACACGCATCATACATTAATATCAAGCAAAACAATAAGGGACTGAGTTGATTGACATTGGTGCACAAATAAAATAATCCCACCACAATCATAATCATCATCTCTGTCTAATAATGTAAACACAATTAACAACTGACATTTCTGGCAATAGCTCTTCTGCAGATCAAACAGCATTTTTTTTTTAAAAAGTTTATCAAACACAAATCCTCATGACATTCTGTTTATTCTTGTTGTGCATACAGTAAGTCCGAGCTTAATGTGAGTTCACAACGCACAATGTGGAACACGCACCGTTATAACGCGGAATGGGCACCGCTCTAACAGGGAATGCGCCCATTTCTTACGGGGCTTCTGAACACTCGACGACAAACGACTGCGGGATGAGTGGAATGATACAGGAACGCGGCGGCGTACCCTCAGTTATTTGTCCCGCCATCTGTGTGTGCGTACGTAACATCCTGCCAAACTTATCGTTACATTCCGTGTGTTTCGCTCAACGCGGCACTTTTGGGGGCCATGGATCTGCCGCTTTCAACGAGGGCTATTACTGTATTTGTCTATACCGTGTTATTAGGAACCTTTTATTTGGCCTGCAATCACTTCATTGTTGAGGGGTTCTCTCCAACATCCCTTTGTCCTGGTGCCTCGAGATGTACATGCGCGGTATAATGTGTGCGACAAATACGATGATGATGATGACTTGAATGGCTCAGGAGTTGTTGTTGCTCTACACCTTGCTCACCTGGAGGCAAGCCTGGGCTCGACTGGCCGATGTAAATGAGCAGCAGCAGCGCCACCACGAGGTTGACGAGCGCATAGATCCACTGGATGACCATCATGACTACAAGACAGACGAGCATCTGTGGGCACCGCACCGTTTTTTCACTTAGGCATCACATGGAAGTAAGGACCATGATTATTCGCCCGCCATAGCCAGCGGTGGTTGACAAGTCCTTAAATTGGAAAGTTACCAAACGAACCTCAAAAAGTCGTGAGATGTCGTAAGACGTTTTAAAAACGTTTGCAAGGCAAGTTATCCATGATTTAACGGAGTAAACTGATACAGGATGTTTTAATATAAGCCTGAAGTCTGCAGCATGTCCTCATCCCAGAAAGTTGTTCGATTTGTACAATTTGATTTGACAATGCTACCATTAAGGGAAATCCAAAAAGTTGCTGGATAATGACTCCACCATATCCTGTATACTGTTTCTCAAATTATATTCACTGCATCAATATAAATTAAAATGTAAAAGCAAGTGTGTGTGAATAGTAGATACATAATGACATGGGTAATTGTCACATTGTCTTCTGTGGTTTACATCGTCTCACTTTGCAAAGCAGCTTCTAATCAAAACAACTTGTTCCTCCAAATATCCAATTTATGTATTTTAAATGAAGGGTGCTGTATACTATACATATATTGATACATATTACAGCTTGGACAATTAGTTGAAGTAAACAATAATTAAGTGGCTGATAACAAATTAATAAATAGAGGACTGCAGAGTTTGGGCAATTGTTGGCATCGGCTCACTGCCTACTTGTCTGTGGTTCCTCCTCACACCTGAGTCGCGCTCTCTCTCTGAGAGTGAGTCAATAATGTGCACGTTGGAAATTTGAATTATTATTAGTCAGCAAAACATTGTAGCCGACTACTTTTGTGGTCGATTACGGTACTCAGGCCCTTCTAAACATGGCAGATGCCTCGACATCCCACCTCCCGTGGGCAGGAAACCCCCTGCAAGTGTGACGAGGTTGATGATGACGATGATATCATCACCTCCCGTCCAGCGGCACGTGTGGCAACAGAGATTATTTTTTTCCAAACTTTTTATGTAATCTGATTATTCAAGTAATCCATCTTATTATTATTGGTAGTGTAATCATTTCAATAATCAGATTTCCCATCTCTTAATAAATGTGAAAACACAAGGGCACCTACGTGCCAATTGCACACTTACATTTTAGTATGTTTGACAGAAATAAAGAATGACATAAAGGAGTCATTGTTCTCTTTCAGATCATATTCAGGCAAGTTTGATATATCTGCATGGGAGTTGTTAATATACAACTGTCCACCCATACAGTGTACTTTCCATGTGGATGTGTTTTGACATAATTATATCGGTATTTTATATTTGAAAGGGCACAGTGGACTGCAATGACATTTCAGTACATTTGATGCATAAGAAAACATACCCCAAGCAAAGAAACCCAGCGATTGCACAGTTTTGCGTAGAATTTGTTTGACATTTGGCTGATTTCTGCCTCCCATGGGTTTCGTGATTCTGCAATATCTGTTAAAAAACACAGGTGATATTTTTAGTGACGGTGCATAATTATGACCGGGAAAATAAGAATCGCAAGACAAAAGCAAAAAGGATAAACCATGACAGTTTGTAAAATATTGAGCCAGCATATTTGATAATGCATTGAGCAAACAAGACACACTCGTATTTTACATTCGTTGTGTTAATATTAAATTGGAATTTGTCACCTTTCTTTGAGTCACTTTCTGATGAGCCTCTCTTGAGTTGCCACTTGGGTTTACTTTGTGTTTCCTGCTGGGAAGAATCTGACGAAGAGGCTAGGTCTTGAAGGGGATCTTGGTGGATCGTCTGCTCGTCACTCTCGGCTGAAACGTCGTTCATCGGGTCAACATATTTTCTCTTCTCGGGATCATTTGTCTTAAACACCTGTCCTTCCAGGTCCAGCATGAAGCTGTCCTGTAACGTCTCCTTGGCCGGCTTACGAGAACGACCTCTTCTGGGCGCCTGCTGCTGACCGCTGTTGGCATCAACCTTAGAACTGCCCGAGGACTCCTTGGGAAACAAAAGGTCCATGTCCTTGGTGAACTCCTGCAGTGAACCCTGGCCCGCAGCCCTGTTTGCGCCGTTGCCATCGCCGTTGCTGTCGATCAGAGGCTGGTAGCCGCTTGCGTTTGGCTGTCCAGACCTGATGCCACCTGCAACCTGCGGCTTGGGCTGCATCTTCACGCCACCAGAGGCCAGCCTCAGCCTTCGCTCCTGCTGCTCATCGTAGGTCATGGCGAGCGCGAAGTAAGAGTAGTCGATGGTGGCGTAGGTGAGCAGAAAGTTGATGGTGACAATGGGCGCAAGGATGTTGACCTGGCCTACGAAGATGAAGGCCGTGGTAATGACGCCCACTACACCGATAGCATAAACAGGTGTCTTGTTTGGGCCATGCTGTGGAGAGGACATATGAAAGATTGTATTTAATAACATTACTTGGAGATATATGTACTTGTAGCTTAACTGAGAGTAAGAAGAACATGGATTAGAGAAAATATGTAAGTTATAGGCATCATATTGACTGTTCGGACAAGTGGATTTGGGGAGGACATGTCACTCGAATGGATGATGGCCGGTGGTCAACACGAATGATGGACTGCCAGTCAATGAAGGGAACATGCCCGAGAGGATGTCCACTGCTCATGTGCAGGTGGTAGACATGTTCTAGATTTGAAGCTTTCGTGACTGCAAGGATTCATACTCTTTGGTTTTTTCGGTAAAGTCACGTAGATAAAACAAAATCAAAATAAAAGAAAACTAAATAAAATCACGACGTTTCCGAGGCAACACAAGCTTCCGTCTTCAGGTGGAACAGTCACAGCAAGATAGCTGCATCAAGTGGGGAGCTCTGAGACCCTCGAGCTTATATACAGGTTAAGGTGGGGGGGAGGAGCCAAGCGAGGAGCGAGGTTAAGGTGGGGGGGAGGAGCCAATCAGGGAATGACGACGAGGCCAAGTTAATCCATTTGTTATGTTGAGGGTTTGGGGGAAGCGGTGGTTCACTGCACGGGGGCAATGAAAAATGGTAAAAAAGGCTGTGCGCTTATAAGGTAGCTGAAGTTTTGACTTGGTTGATGACATCTTTCCAGTGGTTGCTTAATTTAAAACCATCCTCTCGGATGAAGTTGTGTCTGTGTTTGTATATCTGGATGGCTTCATGGACAAATCTTTGGTAATAACCGGGAGGTTTGCATAGTACTTTGATTTCGGAGAAAATAATGTCATGAGAACCCGCTGTGTTGAGACAATGATCAGCCACGGCCGAAGAATTCGTTCTGCCGTGTTTCAAATCTGATTTGTGCTCGCGAATTCGGTCAGAAATGTCGTTTCGTCTCCCCGATATAGCAGTCACCGCAGATACAACTCAATTTGTAAACACCGGGGTACTGTAAGTCAGGAATGACATCCTTTACGGATGGGATCAGATCACGGATTTTGTGTACTGTATTTAACCGAACCTGGATCTTGTGCTTGTTTAGAATTTTGGAAATCATTTTGGTGACGCCTGCTATGTATGGCAGTGTGATGATTTTGATCGGAGTGTCAAGTGGTTGCTTCTGTATGGTAGGAGAAACTGCTTGGCAGATGATACGGTCAGAGAAACGGTTAATCTTGAGGGCTAGATGTACATGTTTCAATTCACTGGTCAGGTGGTGTTGGTCAGAAATGCAATGAGCTCTATGGTATAATGTTTTGATGAGATAATTCTTTTGAGCCGGGTGGTGGTGGGAATCAGGCTTGAAGTAGGAATCTGTATGGGTGGACTTCCTGTAAACAGAATGTTCCAAAGAGCCATCAGTCCTCCTCTCAAACCGAACATCCAAAAATGGCAGCTTGCCATCTTTCTCCACTTCCATGGTGAATTTGATGGATGGGTGTCTGGACTTGATGTGGTCTAGGAAATGGTCCAAAGCTGGGAGGCCATGTGGGCAAATGACGAAAGTGTCATCCACATATCTCTTCCACAGGGAAGGACGAAGTGTGGATGTCTGGATGGCGTCTGATTCAAATTTCTCCATGAAAACATTGGCTATCACTGGTGACAAGGGGGAACCCATAGGGGTACCCTCATTTTGTTTGTAGAAGGTGCCATGCAATTAAGCAACCACTGGAAAGATGTCATAAACCAAGTCAAAACTTCAGCTACCTTATAAGTGCACAGCCTTTTTTACCATTTTTACCATTTTTCATTGCCCCGTGCAGTGAACCACCGCTTCCCCCGAACCCTCAACATAAAAAAAGACGGCTTAACTTAGCCTCGTCGTCGTTCCCTGCTTGGCTCCTCCCCCCCACCTTAACCTTAGCCCCGCACGCCGTCATCGCTCCTCGCTTGGCTCCTCCCCCCCACCTTAACCTGTATATAAGCCCGAGGGTCTCAGAGCTCACCACTTGATGCAGCTATCTTGCTGTGACTGTTCCACCTGAAGACGGAAGCTTGTGTTGCCTCCGAAACGTCGTGATTTGATTTAGTTGTTTTCTTTTATTTTGATTTTGTTTTATCTACGTGACTTTACCGAAAAAACCAAAGAGTATGGGTAGACATGTTGTTGTATCAGAAGATGGTAAGAAATGGCAATAGCTTGGGCGGGGGGGGCTCCATCCAGAAATGGATTGGTCACGGTTGATGATAGCAAATTAAATATAGTTTTGGGATGCTGCAGGTGTTTTAGCTCAGAGAAATACGTGTTTATTAGGTGAAGTGTCAGACGCACCCCTCGGCCGAGGACTTCGATGATGGGTATAACCCGCTCCTGGGCGATGCACTGCAGGATGCGTGGCGCTCCGTAAAGCCCCGTCATGCAGGAGGCCAGCGAGGAGATATACAGCCCCACCAGGAAGAGGAATCCCACCAGAGACACCTAACACATTGAACCCCAGCGTATAACATTTATACATTATAATCCACAGAAGCTACTGGGTTATTATTTGGTTAAAAATACCAAATATTCCGATTTGTTGAGGCAGATTATACTCCACATAACATGCTGCAGTGGTGTAATGTTTGGTACACTAGACTTGCAATCCAGAGGTAGACGGGTTCGATTTTCAAGAACTGCAGGGGAAATAATTGGCAAGGTTCCTGTCCCACCCCAGCAGTATAAATGGGGACACCACAGTCAATCGGCAGGTCGCGTGTGGTGGGGCAGGGTGTTGATACTCCCTTCTCTTCCAAGACATCTGTCCAGTGTGGAAGAGTAAGCGTAGTACGCTCTAGACGGGCTCTCTCGAGCCAGCAGTGGCGTGAGCAAGAAATTACAAGGCTGCACATCCACCTTTAATATTACACGTTAAATAATCAATAAACAATACACAAAATGTGTGTGATTAAAACCCCCATGTCAAAATATTCGATATAATGAGTTTACAATGAAGGGTCGCACTTTCTCTGCGATCATGAAGTCAACCCGAAGAGCCTCCCGGGTGCATGTGGCTCCAAGCAGCAGCACAAATACGAGGTAGAGGAACCACCTGGACAGGTAGCGGGAGAGGGCACGCAGGTGTCACACATGGCATTGTTTCAAGTGGAAATATTTGTTTTGGCACAAGTCATTCCTATTTGAAAAGTAGCTCTGTGGCAGTTAGTTTATATGCCAAGTATTCATTAATTTAGTATGTACATTTTTTTATGCTTTTAGAGAAATATTGGTTAATAGTGGATAGTTAAAAATTCTTGAAAAGATTGCCAAAATTCATTCCATTTTAAATCAACACAGTTTATATTTTAACTATAACTTCGACTCTAAACTCCAACATGTTATGTAAGCCTGTTGTTTTAACCTCCAATGAAAAAAAATAACAAGTATAAAAAATGTTAATGTGCTTGCAATGCTTAAATGTTTTAAAAGCATTATTTCTGTTCAGGAGACCATAGCAAATACATTCAAATACATTAAAACCTTGGATTGCGAGAAACTTGGTCTGCGAGTGTTTTGAAATACGAGCAAAAATGTTAAATAAATATTAATTTGATAAACGAGGGAGGTCTTGCAATACGAGTAGTACGTATACGCTTTGTCTGCCGAGCGTCACGTGATCACAACTGATATACGAGTGATTTGATATACGAGTGCTTTGGATTACAAACACGTTTCTGGAACGAATTATGCTCGCAATCCAAGGTTTTACTGTATTTTGATACTGGCAAGCAAGCCAGAACCACATGTGATGTGTCGACAGACCCACCAGGGGTCGGTCTCATGCCCCTCTCCTCCTACCCTTGACATGCATTTGGTTTAGTTAATCAAATAAGCAATGTGAGCAACAACAAAGAAACAAGGTGACATGCATGTGTGTGTGTATGTTGTTGAACTTCTTCACACTGTACATAGCCAACCGTGTTAATTGGAGGTGCGGGGGAAGGACAACAAACTAAAAACAAAAAGCAGTTCTAAAGAGATGAGTTTTCAACAATCACTATTCTTCATCACTTCACTTCTTTTGTTAATTACCCTAAACTATATTTACTTATATTCTTAGTTTTTTCGGTAAAGTCACGTTGAAGAGAAACAACAAAATAATAAAATATATATAAAACAATAAAACATATATATTTATATATATTATTATTTTGTTGTTTCTCTTCAACGTGACTTTACCGAAAAAACTAAGAATATGAATTACTGCAGTCACGAAAGCTTTAAATCAAAATTTATATTTACTTAGTTTATATTGTTATACTTACAATTAATATGCATACTTTAATGTCCGATTAATGAAGCATTGTCTGAGTAGCTGCAACAAACTATAATGCTGGCATTGTTGGCTTTTTTTACATCTTGAGTAACCTAATATGTTGTGTTAATAAAGAAAATCAGATATATTGCTATGATACAACTCAATGCACGTTGCTCTGAAACTACCACTTGCGGCAGTTTAAACTACTCTCGATTGCACAGGGTGTCGCAGAAGATGTTTTGTGACCCACCCCCCTTCCCAATTAACTCACCCAGAACAATTTTTTACTTTGACGATTCATTTTTGTTTTCACACCCATTGGTATGCAAAGTTTTCAGTTTTAGAGAATTAAATCGGGCGGGGGTGGGGTCACAATACATCCGGACCACCCGATAAAAAAACCAGTAGCCTCGGTGTGTTCCACGAGGGGACGACACTGCAGGGCACTCCGCGTCCCAAGCATCTCACACTCACGTGATGCCAATTGCAGCCAAGGACCCCACGGGAATGTTTTTGGATGGCGTCTTGAGGTCTCCACTCATGTTGAAACCGGCCATCACACCTGAGGCACGCAACAGTCGGATTTATTACGCAGAATTTTTTTACATTAAAATGTCATTGCCCAGAAAATAGTTTTTTTTTCAGTGTAGACAATAAGTGGATTAATAAAGTAAATTTGATTTAGTTTATTTTGTGGCCCTCTGTGGGGCAAACGATACACTGAGAACACGATCAAAAGTTGCTCGTCAAGTTTCTAATGAAGTTATCGTGGGTTATCTTTAGTAAACTGGGGGAATTAGCTTAGAATTAGTCCTCTACTGGAGCTATTAAAAGCAATTGATCTATATGAATGTAATAATGTAGTTACCATGCACTGCGATTAGTAATTGCTCTGATAGAGGAATGTGGCAAGAACAAATATCATATTTATAATCAAAGTAAAGGTGCTGCGCTGCAATTGCTTGTTCATGCTCCTGCTAATGGAAGGGCCTCGACTCGAGGGAACTCCAGACAGCCTCTCTAGACCAGCCGTCTTGGAAGAGGTGGGAGTACCCAAACTTTACCGTACAGGACCTGCAGATCGACTAACTGTGGTGTCATTATACTGCTGGATGTACAGAGGCGACGGCAGGTCGAAGCGGTGACCTCTGCTCAGTGTGATAACCATTACTCCAGAGTAGCCTATACCATAATCAGTCTCTGCATGAGGTTGACACATCTGCTTACCAGTTGCGGTGGGGAAGAAGACCCCAAACACCGTGAAAAAGCTCTCCCCAGGGGTGTAGTCCGGGAAGGTGTTGTTTTTCAACAGTTCTTCGGTGTAGCCCACAAATCCATTCTCTGCACACACACACACACACGCATGCACAGTGCCACTGAAAATGCCAGCATTGTTTTTGTTATATTTAACTTTCAGAACAGTTACATACAGCGACGCTGAACAGGACAATGCGATTACCGTTGCCACAGACCATTCAAATTGTTTGCAGGCCACACGTATGTCTTTGTCAAGGACATGCCGTTTTGTTTAGGGTCACTCTGACTAGTGCCGTTAATTTGGCGACAGTGCTGGCAAACAATGCCATAATCTTTCAAATAGCGGTATGGGATTTCTTAAAATTCCACGTGCAAAGCGGACTATGTTTTACACAGTTGGACTACACCAGCACATTGTTTGACACCGGAACAAGCATGCTCGACATCTGGACACAAATACCACAGTTGTGAAACTCTACAAAAGAGCTCATACCATGGTCTAGTTTTCCAAGTCTAACGTTCATAAATTTCAAATAACGTAGACCACTTGCTTCATATGTGCATGGACACGTACTGTATAAAAGAAATTGCAAAAAAATGTTGGCATTAAAAGCTATCCTCTGGTTGTTCCCGAGGGCTAAACGTTGAGTACCGAGGCTCTATGCCACATATCCAATCACCCACGTGTTAACACCCTGTCAACCAGTCCATAAACCTTTCCACATTTGCTCCTGTACACACAGCCATATACTGGAGAAAACCACCACTGGGATACAAGTGGTGCAAGGGTAAATTCGAGTGTGAATGTGGCTTGAACAGCCAATACCGACGTACATGCCTGACCTTCCCAAGTGTGCTGTAGTGACCATTGCCACCTTTGGCAACAGCTCTCTTTGGCACGGATTCACGTGTAACATAAAAATCGACGTTCACCGCTAAGTGCTGGTGATATCACCACGGCACTTGTGCTATGCTAGGTGCACTTTGAGGCCAGGTGAAGTGACGAAGGCCCGCTGGCAGGAGGTCATGGAACAGACCCAGGTGCCACGAGTTGACTGCGATGACTGGCAGATGCGCAAACTGTGTTTTCCACTGTGCTAACTCTCTGCGCTTTTGCCGCCCGCCACTCTGCTCGTTTTTGAGAGCGTCGCTCCTCTGGCCTGCATTGTTGCCGGAGGGTAACTGCCGCCAAATCCTCAGCAGCATCCTTCACGAACCTCCTCCACAGAGGCCGATCTTGACACTGCTGGCACCATTCATTGGCAAGTCCAATCAGCTCCACCTCCTTCTGTACCACATCAGTCCATCTCTACTCTAGACCATGTCACGTGTGTACACACACACATCCACGGTGTAAAGTGATTGGTACGGGACTTGGTACAAGAGATGAAATGGGGAATCCCTGTTTGTCTTCCTACCCTCCTCCCCTCCCCCCTCTTCATACAGTTGCACCGCCTGCACACTCCATAGTTCGGCCACACGCACGCACCGGGGTCAAGGTGCGTGAAGGAGCCGATGACGAAGTCGAGCATGGACACGGCGAGCAGCGCCAGCAGTACGAGCTGCAGGCGGATGACCCACTTCACCCCGGCCAGGTTGATGCCAAGGAGGCCCAGCACGACCCCGATGGCGATGCCACGCACCGCCCAGATGTTGGATAGCCCGAACGTATCGGCCACAGACTCGGCGAAGCCCGTCACGTACAGAGCGCCCACTACGCACTGAGTAGCAGCCGCAGTAGCGATGGAAAATTAGATTGTGTCTGCATCTACCGTGCAGCAGTTGCAACTCGCTCCATTTAAATAACGTCATCCTTATGCACTCCACCACAGCAAATGTTATATGTTATTGATACAATCTTGAGTATCTCGACAAGTACATACACTGCCAATATGTATTGAGTGTGCAGGTCAATTAATTTACCTGTACTGTATTTAGAACCAGGTGAGACCTTTTAGACAAAAATCCCGATTGCAGGGGGTACCTGCACATACAAGCTCGTGGAGTTTGATGGGTTAACAAGTGTACATCGGCCAAGGACATGGAGGTCAACCATCGACGCATCCTGTGGATGATAATTTTTTTCCTTTTCCAGGCCACTTCGAACAATTCCTCCTCAGCATTTCCCGTCGGCGGCGCGGCGGGTGCGCCCGTCACCTGCCCAAAGACGTAGAGCAGGCCGATGGTGCCGCCGACCTTCCCACCGAGCACGGTGGAGATCATGAAGTAGATGCCGCCGCTGCCGATCTTGCAGCGCTCGCACACGCCGATGCCCGAGAGCACGGACACCAGGGCCACGAGGATCACGAGGAACACCATAAGCACCCCCAGCAGCACGCCGGCATTTCCCTGGCACGGGCAGTCATGGGCGAGCCAAGTACTCTGGCTGTCGATGCGAGTGACGGCTCGCACGGTGATACAGTAAGCAGTCGCGCCAAACGTTCGTACGCATTTTTAGACTTAAAACTTTCATGACTGCAGGAATTCGATCGAAACATCGTGGGTTTTTTGCTTTTAATTTTGTTTTCTATCTACGTGACTTTACCGAAAGAACCAAGAACATGAGATCGTATGCATATTGCCCTCGTTCAAATTGTGCTATAATGCCAATAGCCGTTGAGAACTGTGCGCCAATGTGAGCTGACAGACAAGCCAGATGGTCTAAACGAGGAAGGGATGTTTGTTAGGATGGAATGTCGATTGAAGTTATTAAGAAAGCGGCACTTAATTTTGACGAAGTTATCTGGGTGTCGACATGAATGTTATGATTGACGTTGACTATCATCATCTACTTTTAATGGATTAGAAATACAAATACAATGGTGTACGTCTATATCAGGCTGTGATATTCGTTTAAAAGAGGTAGTAATAGGATTATTTTTGGATAATTGTACTATTTTCCCTGTAATGTAAAATGTGGAAAACTGCTGTGGTATTAGGATTTGTATAAAACTGTTAAGTGGTCTTATTTAAGATTAATTTAACATTGTGATCCAGGACACTGTAGCTCATCCTTATTTAACAACCATTTATAAACAAATAAAATGTCTGTACAAACGTTATTTGAAAATACACAAAAGAACAGCACTATCGCCTTTCCCTTTGATCTAAGGACATGTGTCTTCAAAAAAGTTTTAATTCTATTCAGCATACTGTCGTTAAAGCAGAGTAATGGATAATTGTCATTATGCGTTTTTGGGGTTTGGACACATATCCGTTACGTGGTTGACTTGTTTTAGACTACAAGTTACATTTGTTTCAGACTACAAGTTACATTTGCTTCAGACTACAAGTTTCATTTCAGGAGCAGTGGCTATAAACCTGTAAAACCAGAATGCACGGGTCAAGAAAAAAAACTGTAGGGTAAAGATAAAATATGCGACACGTGTAGCACAATGTTTGCTCGTGACATGATTGCTGTTTCAGCATAAATACCATAATGATCTCACGAGTTTTTAATTTAATTACCAGCAACAATGTTGAATATAAAAAAAATCCCAGTATTTTTTTTACAGACTGTGGATTAATCTGGAATAGGGCCAGGGCAGCTCCAAGTAATAAACAGGGCAGTTGGCTCCATGCCCTCAAGGCCTCACAGCTTTTGCAATGGGTGGACTAATATACTGCACATGTACACCAAACTGAACTAATGACAGAGCTATAAAGTATGTTCGTACTATGTAGGAGAGCCTTATCTACTTTCGTATTGTTTGGAGAACACCATTTACAGTGTTATGGGAGATTGGTTGACAATTTTTTGGCATATGATGTAGTGGCTTTTTTATTTTAAACATATATTATTATACATGTATAGCAGCAGCCCTGTTCTTCCCATGCTCTTTAGATGTGAAATCAACATACCTTTCAACCTTCATGAATATTCTAAAAAAAATTAACGTGCATCCGGCGAGCAAATGTAGCTCACCCAAGGGCTGCAGCCAATGACCCTTGACCCGGAACGGATTTGTGCTCGCCTGTGCCATGACGCACGTCTGCCACATGGTAATTCATGCTATGTGTTTCATCTAGCGAGGCTGCTGTAACCAGCATACAGCAAAAACACAAAATTACTGCAAAGAGTTTCCTTGATTTACGTACGAGAGACGTGGACGCTTGAAAAAACAATAATTGCATCTATCCCTGGTGGTTTATTTTGTTAGAGAGATAAATTGGTAATTTCTGTTTGCACGCACAAATGTTCTGGAGCGTTTTTCCTCTCCATTTGGGAAATGTCAGCTTATTCGGGCCAGTGAAAGGCTCTTTGAGGCTCTAGGTAAAACCTGCTGCATTTACTCTTTGGGAATGTACTTTGCATGCGTGCTTTTCAATGCACACATTGCGTTCATAATGGATAATTTTATCCACATGCTGGCTCTTAGACATTTAACTACTCACCCCCCCCATTCCCCAGTAATTTATTTATATTTAGGAATCTCTTCTCTTTTTCACAATGCAATTAATGTAGCAGCCTCAAGAGTTTGCAGGGATCACGTGAACCCATTGCATACAACATACAAATAAGAAACATTAATCCTGACACAGTCAATACGATGCATGTATCATTTAGTTTAAGGATGCATATTCATTGATCAATTGCTGCATCTTTACAATCATACTGGCTATTTACTATTGCACTGTTGAAGAAGTGAACATTTAAATATATTCTTTGCGCCTAAAAAATCCTTGATGCAAGTGAATACAACATAAATGAAGGAGAGTCTTGCAGAAAAGCGTTGCACTTTCTGCATTGAGGCTACAGTCGGTTTTGGGGATGTTTTCACCATTCTTAGAAATCAATTACCATTACTATTATATTTCAGAATGTTTGAGGCGAATACAAATGTTTTAAATTAATTTACAGTATGGTGATCTTTATGGAAAATTCTTTCTTGGGAACAGGAAAGAGTAGGCTACTAAACTCTTTTAAAAACACAAATGTACTTCTCAAATACGCAGCGATTCCAGGTGGAAAATCCATCCACAACTGTTATTATACCATTGCTCTGCTTTTATAACCCGAGGTTAACTTTTCTGACACATATTGCTTTAAACCCAAAACAAGCCAAAAGGCTCAAGAGTCGCGGTTTTAACGGTCGGTAACTCCGAACGTTTTCCCTTCTGCTCCACGGGAGGGTTCTGTCCCCTCTGAGCTCGCCTTAGGACACTTACATTACCGTTTGGCAGGTGTTATCGCCCTCCCCCCCCCATCAAACTCCCTGCCAGACACTGTCCCTGGAGCGGGACACGTCTCAAATGTAATTTTGAGTGGAAAACTGTCGATCGTAAAATATGTAAAGGCCTTTTACTGTTGTTACATTCAATTATAGAGTACTGCGATCATACTACAAGAATAAAAGTTTAACAGATATTTAAAAAGTAGCGTTGTTATTTTTTCTTCCTAAACTTCTTTGATTTCACAAGTATTCATACCTAGGTTATTGTACACTCCGACAAAGAAAAATACCTATGTATATGTAATGTCTAGAAATGTTTCACTCTTTACAAAAAAGTTAGGCTTAACACAGACTCCGAACATGTGCATGGCATGGTCTTTAACAAAAGGTGTGCACTGTGAGGCCTGGAGCGCCCTTTCCAACCTCTCGTGTAGGTCACTCGGTGAGCCGGAAATGAAAATAAAATTGGTATAGGCAAATTCCGTAGAATTTGCAAATACAGGTGCACATCATTAGACCAGGTGGGTAACAAGTGCATTTCTTGAATTACACGGGTTAAAGATTTTAAATGACATAGAATGACTTAATCAACCTGATTACGTGGAACTGAGTGTCATCAAGCTGCCAACGACAACTCTGCAAACACTGACCATTAATAGCATAGCATATCATCTTAATGTCATGCTTTTTTTGGCCTCTATGCATACTTACAAATGTACATGTGCAATACAGTACTGTACTTAAGTCTGGGGGAAAAATTTTAAATTAGATGGACCAGAAATCTGATCAAAGTTAGGTTTATATGGATGAGTAAGAGACTGCACAGAAGATCAAACTTCCTCTCATGTCCTGTCTAGACCAACACAGGAAATGCACTGTTTGCCTAACCAGATCTGACGATTGAGCACCAATTAAAAAAAAGTTTCAGCCAATTCCGCTAATAGCCCCACCGACTTGGAGCCTCCCTGGTCCCAGCCCAGCCTACCACCAGCCAGCCTGTGCGCAGGAAGATCACAACCCCGAAGATGTTGATCATGCAGGAGGTGAAGACACCGTCCCACATGCCGAAAAGCACGGGCTCCCGCACGAAGAATTGGCTCCTCCACCAGGGGGTCCGGCTACCCGCAGCGCTCTGCAGCAGCACAGGGGCGGTGGAAAGGAGCTGCGAGGTTAGACAGGGGCACGTTTCCTGGGGCTAATTAGATGAGGAGAGGTTTCATCGGCTGACTTCGGATTTTGTGGTCTGCATGGGACGTTGAAGAGCATTGTGCAGAGGTGTACACATCATTTTCATCACCTCTCCCCCCCAGCAAGCATGCAAGGTTTAAAACAAATATATTATGAAACTGGATCTACGATTCATGATACCAGCCAAATACTAACAAGAGAGCACCAAAATGCACTACTAATGGATGTACTACTTTGCACACTATGGGGAAGAGCCTCAGAGCAGAAAAAAGCATTTTATTGCAAATCTAAGATAACAAAATAGACAAGCAGACAAGAGGGGTATCCGTTATATGTTTGTCTTAGCACAAGATAAGATAAATTATATTTCGGAAGCCACTGGCAACACACATTGCATGCCTAAATAATTAACACTCAGACAGCCATAGCCTTAACTTGGCAGTGACAAATGCCAAGGCCCCTTCCTTAGCCATCCGTGCAGCATTCAGTTTCCATTGCAGTTTGGTACCACAAAATCACATCGTATTTTAGTGGCACAATATCATTGAAGAGAGTATCTTAGCTCAATGAGCTTCAGAAAAAAGAAACCGACTGACTGAATACAAATTTGTCAAATTTTTGGGAAAAAAGTAGATGCTCCCAATGCCATAAGTACTGTAACTCTCACATTTATTTTGTTTTCTTTGATGTTTTGGCTGGCTGGCTGGCTGTAGGAGTGTCAGGAGACAGAGAACCGTGGCTTGAGTTGGTCAAGGACTCATGCCCACATGGTTACTACCTCTTCATGACCAATTGTCAACATAAAGATAGACAACTGCACCATTTGGAACGCTCTTCATCTGGATATTAGGAAGCCACTGGACCTATGCACTTTCAAATCAACTATATTAAAAACGGATTTCTTGAGAACTGCTTTGTGTTTAGTTTGTTGTCCTTCCCCCGCACCACTGATTAGCAAGATTGGCTATGTATGGTGCGAAAGAAGTTCAACATACATGAAGAGGAATCAAAGTGTGTATATGTCAGCATGTGTTGATAAATGAAATGTTATCTGAAATGAAAAATTGTTTAATGCAGCCACTAAGAGGTGCCATGATTAAATTTAATATCTTTATCTTTCTGCCAGGCTCAGTATCAATATAACACAACCTTACATATACAAATTACAATGAGTCATATTTACATGTTTTCATTTGGAGCCACTCCCACAAAGCAGGTGCAAAGTTATAACGGCCAGTGCAGTAAATTGTGCCATTAACATAAAAAAAAATTTTTTACAACCTTTCGTCACTGCTAAATGAAATATTTTCCATGCCATGGCAGTCATGGAGGTTGTTTGATCATACCTCACCCCATTGGTCAGTCCGGCTTGGCAAAAGGGGGTCCCAGATATCACTTGCCACTGTTGTTCGCCATTGGCTGGAACCACAAACTCAAGTGACCAATGAACTCCGGTGGCCAGGTTTGTCCAACTAACCACAGCACCACCACTCGCCATGAATCCCATTATCGACACTTACAATCAGTGATCTCTGGCGATTCTCCTCCAAAGTGTGGGGATAATAGAAAAAGTTATAATTTATGAAATCATGATACATGTTACCCATCAGCGACCTTTTCTACATCAAAGTCCATTTAACATTTTGCCCATGGGTGTGCGGATGCCTGGCAGAAAATTAAATATATTCATGGTCAGGCTGAGCAGATTCTGAGAGGTTTTGAAGTGTAGCTTACAGTCACAGTAACATTATCAGTTTCTCTAAAAGCTGCAGACAGACATCTCCTTACCACCACGTAGCCCGTCCTGAGAAACAAAACAACCCCAAGGATGTTGACGAGGCAGGATGTGAACACTCCCGTCCACGTGCCAAAGAGGGAAGGCTTCCTCGCAAGTAACTTCGCTTTCCACCATGCACCCCAAGCCCAAGCCTGTTGCAATGTGTTAAGTTACCGAGGTCACCGATCGCTGACAGTACAGAGCAGAACAGCACAGCAAGTGGGCAGAATCTTAAGTAAATCAAAAGGGGCAAATGTCACAATCGTACAGAGCATTTTAGTGCGTGCGGGCATCCGTCTCCAAGAAACAATGACGTGTGGCTATTACGTACTACTGCTTGCGTGCATAACAACAGGCGACAGTGTGTGGGAAAGGAATCCCTTGCCTGAGTCTCTTCGTGGAAGAGGTCCTGCACCTTCCCATTCTCCTTGGTGGAGCCATAGTTGTCCGTGGCCTCGGCCTTTTCGTCGGCGTCGTCTGCAGCCATTGCCTTCGCCGTGGCGGCTGCGAGCAGGGCTGTCCTGTCACCCTGGTCTTCCCCAGACATGGCGACCTGAGAAGGTGATGACCCTCGTGCCCGTGCGTTTATGTGCAGCCTCTGGAGTCGGGATGAACTCGGCTGATCATTCGCCGGTTTCTAAGGGTATGGGCTTCCATGGATACCTACAGCAAATAAAAAAAAACTATGATATCCTGTTTATCATACAGCAAATGTATTATCATCCATGGCTTATCTGCTACTGGTTGAAGGTTTCCTCAATTTGTTGCATTCCTTCCTGGTCTCATGAACAAACAATCCATTTAGCTCCTGGACACACGCTCATGTCATTGCTTCATCTCCACATGGTCATATTTTATATTTAAATGTTAATTTATGCTTCTTGACTGTATTATTAACAACTGTCTTGTACAATGTATCACAAATTGTCATATACAATCATTTCAAGTCCAGAATTAATCCATATGTTAACACTGGCAACCATAAAAAGGCAATCGATAAGCCTGAATATTTTTAACAGAAGATATATTCGATTCACAAAACATTGGGCTCCAATTATTTGTGAAACATTTGTTATGGTAATGTCAGCAGAACCAATTATGAGTATAAAATTATTCACATTTCAATTTTACATAGAGTTGATATGAATTTTTATCAAGGCTGTGGATACGTCAATCTAAGTATAAAATAATTGATTACCAACCGTTCTCTTGCCTGAAATGTTTTTAAAAATAGTTTCTACCATTAATAGACAGAATCGTTAGAATATTGCCACGAAACATTAAAAGGATGACAAAAGCTCAATCACTATATACACAGCGGTGTCTATGCCACCTCGCTTGGTTTTCATTTATTTATAATTTACTTATTTATCCAGGAAAGCCATACTGAGTCGTATGACTCTTCTTAACGAGGGTCCTGCCACATTGGGTTTTTATTTCAAGATATTTTCAGCGAATTAATCAGGAGTTTATAAATATGGGAGGAAGCCGGAGCATCCAGAGTAAACCCACGCACGTGAGGGGGGGAGGGGCAACACTCGTACAGATGGAAACAGATGGTGAATCAAATCTTGACTTAAAGCTTTCGTGACTGCAGGAATTCATATTCTTTGGGTCTTTTGGTAAAGTCACGTAGATAGGTTGAAAGAAAATGAACAAAAAGATAACAAAAAAACGACGACGTTTCGATCACAAGACAATCGTCTACTTGCTGTACTGCCTTCTCCCGGCGAGCCAGGGTACGGCACCTCGACGCCTACGGGAAGGGAGTTTCACAGCATTGTGCGATCCACCAACTGTTGCCTCCAAAGTGCTGATTATAGGCGTGCATATCCACCACAGCCCTAGTTTTAACAAATGCCCTAATGCAGAATATGGAAATTGTACAAAATACTATACAGTATAGCAAAAAGTAGAATTTTCCAAAGTGTCTCCAAGCCCAATAAAACACAGTTTTCATTTCAACAAAATATTACCCAAATTGTTTCCTGTTTAAACAGAAAACAAAACAACAAAATTGTCCTTGATATTCTATCATCAGTGACCATGAAGACCCTAAAAGCATTTCAACTAAGAGATAAAAATCCTCTTCCAAGCATAGAGCTTAAGAAGCGTTATTAGAATACACATCTGTTTGGAAATGAACCATAAAGCAAACACAATGAGTGAGCACAAATTTCTTCAGAACAAATCCAGTACACTCTGTACAATATTAAAACCCGTTACAGTATTCAAATGAGTTTGTGGAGTAGTGGAGTAGTGGCGCAGTGGTTCCTGCACTGCACAACGAACTCCCGTGGACCAAAATTCGATTGCAGGCCACAGTGGTGAATGATATCTGAACCACTTCAACCTGCACTGACCAGCACGGTGAAGTATGGTCAAACAACTCCCATGACCAACACAGCATGGGGGAGGCCTTCATCCAGAAGTGCACTGACAAAAAATGTTATTTTAAAATGTTAATTATTCATGTCCATTACAAGGTTTTAAGTTCAATCTCAACATTTGATAATAGAATTACAGTGCTGTTATACCCATACTAAAGTAGCAACTATTAACCATCATCCAGTGTTGAACAATTGCACTGCATGGTCACCTGTTTGTGACATATGGTGACAACCTACCATTTAACACCGTACCGCTGACAGGCAGTCCCACGTATAAAAAATAAAGGTACACAAAATGAGCTCTTACCAAAATTGAGATAATGTTTCATTTTCGTGTGATGAGATCTTGAACCACCAGTGTCGTGAACGGCCCACAAAAAATAAATAAATAGAATAAGACAAAAATTCAGCTTGGGCAAAATAATGTCAGCAAAATGTTTAAAAGGGAACAGTCAGCTATTTTTTAACATGACTCCCGTCATGCACAGTCGCATTGCCACACGATGAATCCATGGAACAGCCCCTGGGCCACTGCTGAGGCTGTGAAAACTCCGTCCACGACCTGGTCAAATGACGTTGAGATGTGGTTTGTTTCCAGGCAACCGCATAGCCTGCGAGAGGGAGGGAGCGAGACAGCCAATTCAGAACTCAATCACTGGCACAAGTGTCTCAGTCCGACCACCCAATGCCACCCACTCCACTCCCAACCCCACAACACTTTCATTTAATCATGAAATTGTTTCACATTTGCATTCTAGGTACAACATTGGCTCATCGAGAAGAGTATTACATCTGCTACGGCAAACGAGTGGTGAAACCGAGTGACACGGCTCTCACTCAAGACAAGCGGGTGGTGCGTGTGACGATGACGACGTTGATGAATACGTCTGTATGCAGTGTATTTGTATTGCACTGAACAGGATGTTGATCTGCTGCTCCAGGCTAAGTGCCCTGGTTAAGGGGCTGACGACAGTGATAGGGGCCGACACCCACTGCAGTGAGCCACAGCCCACACCTCCTGGGAGAATGTACAAAGGCTACAGTTGACCACACCAAACTGCATTTTCCACGAAACAGATTGACTTGCGCCACACGCATGTAGCAGTGTATTTTACAGTACAGTACGGTATGATGAAAATGCCACCTTTGAAACAAATGTTCACCAACAAATACTTCCATCATTAGCCTATCCACTGCTAGATGAAGGCCCCCACATGCTATTGATATCCCTCACGCTCCTGCAAGGCCACACTCCATCTCACTCTTCAACATGAATTGATTTCATCGCTCCATCTCCACAGTTGTCCTCCCGGACGCCTTCGTTCCAGAACTCATTTGGCTTTCATTGTAACTCATCTCGTCCATCGATCATCGTCCCTTGACCAGGCTTGCCTACTTTCCTTAACAGTCCCTGTGATGTCTCAATGCCCCCACTCGCCCCGATCAACCTGTTCATTTACAGCACTTATCTACATGCATGGAAGAGTTATGGACGACACCAATAAATAAGAAGAAAAACAACATTTAAATGCCACCAATGATATTTGTAATGTATCCAATAGGTTTGCGAAACAAATGCAGGTGCTTGTCGAGGCAACACAACTTGTGTTGAGTAAGGTCCAATCTCCACATATATAAAAGGCAAAGATGTGAATGTGTGTCTGTTCAAAATGTTTAGCGTACTTCCCGACATGCAACAAACATGAAATTTGCCATATGGGTACTTTCCAGACTGTACACCATGCAAACATTATAAAAATACACTTTTGGGGGGGGGGGGGGGGGGGAGCTCAATAATGCATTTATTTTTTGCTCGACAAGTCAGCTGTGTCGTCAAATCTGTCATGTGACCCGCGCATGTGGAAGCGTAACGCATTGCAGTGTAGTGGTTAGCACGCTGTGTATGTGTCTGTGTGTGTGTCTTTGTGTGTGTGTCTGTCTGTGTGTGTCTGTGTGTGTGTCTGTCTGTGTGTGGAAGCGTAACGCATTGTAGTGTAGTGGTTAGCGCGCTGTGTATGTGTCTGTGTGTGTGTCTGTCTGTGTCTGTGTGGAAGCGTAACGCATTGTAGTGTAGTGGTTAGCGCGCTGTGTATGTGTCTGTGTGTGTGTCTGTGTGTGCGGGCCCGGGTAAAACTACGTGGCCGGGAGTCAGAGCCATTCCCTGTACACCTTGGGGTGCGACAGGGATGTCCTCTGGCTCCCACATTATTTAACATCTATTTTGACCACGTAGTTCGTGAAGCCTTCAATAGCTGTACTGGGGGAATCTCCATATGGTACAGATATAATGGGAGGCTGATCGATGCCCAGGTGCAGACAAGGGATGGCTCCCTATTGCTCAACCACGTTATGTATGCTGATGATTTGGTAATAGCTGCTCATTCAGAGGAGGCGTTGGAGACGCTGCTGCTGAGACTGGAGCGTGCCACTAAGAGGTGGGGCCTTACCATCAGCCCCACCAAAACTAAGCACCTGCCTGGGTATTTTGTACCATCGGACACTTCACCCCCACAACTCCCAATCGGTGATGGGGCAGTTGTGGAAAGAGTGGAGAGTATCCCATACCTGGGCAGTGTGCTTATGACCGGCTCCAGTTTAACAGCAGAGGTCTCACTTCGAATCAGTTGAGCGGCAATATCTTTTCATCGGTTGCGTAACGCTGTGTGGAAGCTACCTGGTCTGTCGCTCCGCACTAAGCTTCAGGTCTTCTCGGCCACGGTCATTCCCTCCCTTCTCTACGCTTGCGAAACGTGGACCCCCTGAATGGAACATCTTCGCCGGTTAGAAACATTTAGGCTGGCCTGCCTACGATCCATCCTGGGTTTAACCAGACTGGATTGTGTGAGGAGCTCACAAATCCTTGAAAGATCTGGGCAAAGTCCCATCGGTGAGCTCCTCCGGCGGGCAAGGCTGCGATGGCTGGGTCATGTAGCCCGCATGCCCAGCCACCGCATGCCAAAACAGCTTTTGTTCGGCCGAATTGAGAGGGCTAAACGGGCGCGGCACGGGCTAGAGAAGAGATGGAGTGATGTGGTACAGGAGGATGTGGAGCTGAGTGGACTTGCCGATGACTGGTACCAGCGGTGTCAAGATCGGCCTCTGTGGAGGAGGCTCTTGAAGGACGCTACTGGGCAGTTGGAGGCAGTCGCCCTCCAACAACAACGGAGGGCGGAGCAGCGACGCTCACAACAACGAGCGGAGCGCCGGGTGGCTGAAGCACAGCAGGTTGGCACAGTAGGGGGCACAGGTGGTGCATCAGCCAGTCATCTCAGTCAGTCGACCCATGGCACCTGGGTCTGCCCCGTGACCTCCTGCCAGCGGGCGTTCGACACTTCACGTGACCTCAGGGTGCAGATAGCCTGGCACAAGCGTCGTGGTGATGTCACCGCCACTTAGTGGTGAATGGCGGTTGTTGTTGTTGTGTTGTCTGTGTGTGTGTGTGTGTCTGTGTGTGTGTGGAAGCGTAACGCATTGTAGTGTAGTGGGTAGCGCGCCGCTCTACGAACCCGGCAACCCGAGTTCGATTCCCGCTCATGGCCACCACCGGTGACGATTACTTTAACCGGTCCTGGGCCTCCCCTAGGTCGACTCAGCCTCAAACGAGTAACTGCTGTGGTGTGTGAACATCGCCACTGGGGAGGCAAAGGCGGCCAGGCGTGGTGCTGGCCACCCACCCCCTCGTGTGCCGTGCCGGCCTTCATAGGTGCTCGCTAACAGCACTTGCCCCCTACAGGCTACACGAGGGATCTTTGTCTTTATCCTGTGTGTGGGGGGGGGGGGGGCAGCGACTGCGTAGCGATTCGCGCGCTGCGCTACGAACCCGGCGACCCGAGTTCGATTCCCGCTCACGGCCACCGCTGGTGACGATTATTTGAACCGGTCCTGGGCCTCCCCTAGGTCGACTCAGCCTCAAACGAGTAACTGCTGTGGTGTGTCAACATCGCCACTGGGGAGACAAAGGCGGCTGGGCGTGGTGAATCCAAGTCCCGGGCGAAGCCGGGTAGTTCATCTATATGAAAGGGAAATTTGTGAATGTGTCTGTTCGAAATGTTTAGAAAACTTTCCAACATGTAACACACTTGAAATTTGGCATGTGGGAAGCTTCCAGACTGTACACAATGCAAAAAATATAAAAATAGACTTTTGTATTTAGGGAGGGGGGGGGCGCAATAATGGATAATTTGCACGGCAAGTGAGCGGTGACGTCACATGTGTGATGTCACCCGCATGCGGCAGGGTCACGCATTGTGCCTGCTGACGTCACGCATCCCCCCCCCCACCCTCCGCGTACGCCGTGTAACACATTCCTGCGGAGGGGGCTGGTAGGAAATTTTGAAGTAATTATGTACGGATATTTAAGCCAAACTTGTTAGGGTCGTGCGCAGAAGAAAGCAAAATGAAAAGTGAGCAGAATTATAAAACGACGCCAGAAAGTGCAGTGTAAAAGAGGTCGCACCAGAAAGTGCAGTGTATAATCCCCTGCCTCCTGTGAATTAATCCCGGTTGGGCTTCCAGTCAATATAAGGGCACCACGGGGTGACCAGCCCCTCCCCACCCAGCCCCACCCCTCCCACCCCCCACCCAGCCCCACCCAGCCCCTCCCCACCCTCCCCTCCCCACCCAGCCCCTCCCCACCCAGCCCCTCCCTAACCTCCCCTCTCCACCCAGCCCCTCCCACGTGGACAGACATCCACAGACATCCACAATTAATCCCCTGCCTCCTTTTAATTAATCCCGGTTGGGCTTCCAGTCCACTACGTTTCCTACCAGTACAAGAATCCAAGTCTCGGGCGAAGCCGAGTAGTAAAGCTAGTTAATTATAATTAAAGGTGGACTGGGGGCAAAATTATGAACGAAAGAGTGAGCAATAGCAGGTAGGAGTGCTTTTAGAAAAAAAATAGCTCGATCATACTGCTGAAAATACATATCAGTTTAACTCAGTAAATATTACTTGGATCAGATACATGTACAGGAGCCAGATGGTTATGTCGCAGGGCTACTGAGGGATGTTGATGACCTGGTGAGACCCTCATCCAACACTGGATAAAGCATGGATGATAACATTTAATGTCCCCATACATTATATCTCTGTACATTATAATATCATATGATTCTATAGAATATTGTATGGGTATATTGATGTATGGAACAGTTGTGGTCATTATCCTTCTACAGTATTCATACGATTGTCATGTATTTATTTCACAATACTTTTTGTCTCCTGGAGAGTCTTGCATTGAAATGTTTGGCCATTTTCACAAGGGTTTAGCATATGGAAGGAAACCGGAGTACCCAGAGAAAACCTACTCACGTGCAAGAGAGCAACACTCAAAAAGCCGTATGAGGTACAGGTTATGAAGAATACGTTCATGTACTTCTGAGAACCTCGCAGGACAAGCCTATAACACCTGGTATTCACAGGCAGGGTCCCATCAATCCACGAATCAGGCTACAACACGCTTAGCTTCCGAGATCTGATGAGCTCGGAATTTTTCTGGAGATAATGAAAACAATTGTTACACTGATAATGCAGTACTCATTAGATATGTGGGTTTGCTGAGCAATTTTAATCCTTACAGTACTGTGCATTACAGTACAGTATACACATGCCACTAACATATGTTGTACAGCTAGCTACTCGACTACTGAAATGTACCAACTTAAAAAAGAGCAGATGTCTTTGGTAAAGTCTAAGATAACCATTAACAACCGTTGCCTTTGCTACTTGTACTATAAAACACGACAACGGCAGCATGTTGTTAGGACACAGCGTTTATATAGTTCGATTGTATGCTGGGAAGACGGGCATGTGACCGACACGTGTTTATGTAATTGATCATTTTACATATCTACACACACACATCGCCGACCACGTATAACTTAGCACACGTTGACCGTCGCTAAATAGGTCGTTCATTGCGATACGGGATGGCCAATTTAAACGAGAGATATCCTGTTTCGTTTCGGGCCGTTCCGATAACGCCGTGCGGGTGAGAAATGTCAAACGTGACGCTTGCCTCCTGCTTTACAGACGCGACGCAATGTTCCACGTCACCCGCAAGTGTTGAGTGCTAAACCCTTCAAGCCGGGTGACACACACACACCGGGCTCGTTAAGCCCAGGTAGGTGGAAGCACATCCTCAAAACGGCTGCCATGCCAGCCTGCGCAGGTGAAACCCCTTCAACGCTCATCTCGCCCACAACGATTAAACTTGCGTGTGATACGACCAGGTGTTACTAAGGATGCCAAAGTCACTCACCTGGCAGCTGGGGATCCCCACTGACTCTCACCTGTACCTGGCCAACTTCCTGAGCGCGTCAAGTGTGGGCTGGGCTGTGACGGACTGGGTGGGCTGGTTTTACGTGATCTGGGCAGTGATTAGGTTAAGGTGGAATTGACGTGGGTGCTTTGACATGGGCTGGGCTGTTTTAAAAAATGTACGCTTGCTTACGTAGAAAAGCCTCTCTCTGTATCTCAACTGTTTTTCAAGGCTCTGCCAAGTTATTGCCGTAGGGGGCGTAGTCGCTGTATAATCCCAATTGAATAATTTAAATATAATTTGGTAACATTGGGATGTTTGGCAAATACCAGTTACATGGCATGTTTTTTTTTACTGTGATTAGCTTACGGTGGAATGGGTCGGCTAATTTGACATGGGCTGGGTTGCCACAGGCTCGGTCGGCTGGTTTGATATGGGTTGGGCTGAGTTTATGTAATGATGGGCTGCTTTGACATGAACTGAACAGTAGTTTAGGCGAAATTATTGAGTTACAGTGAGGGAAAAAAGTATTTGATCCCCTGCTGATTTTGTGCGTTTGCCCACTGACAAAGAAATGATCAGTCTATAATTTTAATGGTAGGTTTATTTGAACAGTGAGAGACAGAATAACAACAAAATCCAGAAAAACGCATGTCAAAAATGTTAAAAATTGATTTGCATTTTAATGAGGGAAATAAGTATTTGACCCCTCTGCAAAACATGACGTAGTACTTGGTGGCAAAACCCTTGTTGGCATCTTCTTTGGTTCTTTCGGTAAAGTCACGTAGAATGATAATAAAATAATAAATTGATAAAATAAAATAACACAATAATATTCTCACGACGTCTCGGCCACAACACAAGCGGCCTTCATCAGGTGAAGGGGGCGAGACTGTCTGGTAGGACAGCGCTGGAGTGAAAGAGCCACGTTCAGATACGGTCTTTAAGCTGTGTGAGAGGAACAAATGTTTCCACCTCCATGTTTGACGGTGGGGATGGTGTTCTTGGGGTCATAGGCAGCATTCCTCCTCCTCCAAACACGGCGAGTTGAGTTGATGCCAAAGAGCTCCATTTTGGTCTCATCTGACCACAACACTTTCACCCAGTTGTCCTCTGAATCATTCAGATGTTCATTGGCAAACTTCAGACGGGCATGTAAATGTGCTTTCTTGAGCAGGGGGACCTTGCGGGCGCTGCAGGATTTCAGTCCTTCACGGCGTAGTGTGTTACCAATTGTTTTCTTAGTGACTATGGTCCCAGCTGCCTTGAGATCATTGATAAGATCCTCCTGTGTAGTTCTGGGCTGATTCCTCACCGTTCTCATGATCATTGCAACTCCACGAGGTGAGATCTTGCATGGAGCTTTAGGCCGAGGGAGATTGACAGTTATTTTGTGTTTCTTCCATTTGAGAATAATCGCACCAACTGTTGTCACCTTCTCACCAAGCTGCTTGGCAATGGTCTTGTAGCCCATTCCAGCCTTGTGTAGGTCTACAATCTTGTCCCTGACATCCTTGGATAGCTCTTTGGTCTTGACCATGGTGGAGAGTTTGGAATCTGATTGATTGATTGCTTCTGTGGACAGGTGTCTTTTATACAGGTAACAAGTTAAGATTAGGAGCACTCCCTTTAAGAGTGTGCTCCCAATCTCAGCTCGTTACCTGTATAAAAGACACCTGGGAGCCAGAAATCTTTCTGATTGAGAGGGGTCAAATACTTCTTTCCCTCATTAAAATGCAAATCAATTTATAACATTTTTGACATGCGTTTTTTTGGATTTTGTTGTTGTTATTCTGTCTCTCACTGTTCAAATAAACCTACCATTAAAATTATAGACTGATCATTTATTTGTCAGTGGGCAAACGTACAAAATCAGCAGGGGATCAAATACTTTTTTCCCTCACTGTAGGTGGGCCGGTTTTACGTGGGCTGTGCTCTAATGGGATAGTTGGGCTGGTTTGACGTGGGTTGGGCTGTGTTGAAGTTAAATTGGGCTGTGATGGGCTACGTGGGCTGTTTTCAGACATTGCCATTCTAGGATGACTTGTGATGTAAAGAGTTGTAGATGGACAACATGATATGGGATAAGTTGTGCCGAGCTATAATGAGGCTGCATTTGGATGAGCTATAATAAAGTGAGTTAGATATCCTGCACATGTTCGGATGTGTTGGACTGTAATGACATTGAGGTGGTCTTGTATAGACTGGACTGATGACGTTTAGGTGAGATATGCCATGATTGGCTTGGGCATATTGCTTTGAAGTGAGATTGGCTGATAATCTCAGGCAATCGGGGAATGACCTCTGTGCAGGCCGCTGTGTACACTTACTTAGCTTTCACTGTGAAAATATCTGCGCGTGTGTTTGTGCGGCCAAAGACACTAATGGGTCGAACTGAAAAAATATGCATAAACTGTACATTTGAGTGTTTCAGGAAATTAACATTCGGCCAAGACTAATACATGACAGTAACGTTTCCATTCGCTAGCTGTAGGAAACAAACGCAAAGCTGCCCAGCTGCTCTCTGTGCCGAGAGCATCCCAATGATAACCGCAAACGCGTTAACGCCAACACGCGGGCAGCAGAGGGCAGTGCATCCAAATCCATTGCTGTGCTGTACTTCCCTGTTCCTACCGACCACCCGTTACGTATGGTCAAATAACAAGCGATGCGTGTGGGTTTACAAAGGGCTCGACGTACAAATACATATATGTACAACACCGACACGAGGTTCACACAATGACTGACGAGTCACACGTGACCTATGCGACGCCACAACGGTGCTGTGATCACCCAGCTTGACATACTCTGGTGAAAGGAGGGACATTAATTGACTTAAATTTTAACACGCAGGCTTTTGCGGCCAATATTAGTCATAATAAAGGCTTTTGGGTTAGATCGCGTAAGTATAAATGTGTCGTTAACCCGCCACCACCCGCCACCGCCAACTAGTAAGGTTTGCCATGTAAACAAAACGTGTCAATTAGTTACTACTTTAACCCACCAGTGTGTTGGGGAGTACAGTGAGGGAAAAAAGGATTTGATCCCCTGCTGATTTTGTACGTTTGCCCACTGACAAAAAAATGACCAGTCTATAATTTTAATGGTACGTTTATTTGAACAGTGAGAGACAGAATAACAACAACAAAAATCCAGAAAAACGCATGTCAAAAATGTTAAAAATTGATTTGCATTTTAATGAGGGAAATACGTATTTGACCCCTCTGCAAAACATGACTTAGTACTTGGTGGCAAAACCCTTGTTGGCAATCACAGAGGTCAGACGTTTCTTGTAGTTGGCCACCAGGTTTGCACACATCTCAGGAGGGATTTTGTCCCACTCCTCTTTGCAGATCTTCTCCAAGTCTTCTTTGGTTCTTTCGGTAAAGTCACGTAGAATGAGAATAAAATAATAAATTGATAAAATAAAATAACCCAATAAAATTCTCACGACGTTTCGGCCACAACACAAGCGGCCTTCATCAGGTGAAGGGACGAGACTGTCTGGAGGACAGCACTGGAGCGAAAAAGCCACGCTCAGATCGCGACCTTTAAGCTGTCTGAGAAGAAACAAAGCGCCTTGACAAAGGAATTAGCATAGAATTTAGCATTGAAATAGCTGAGTGATTAGCTTGTGACTGGTCACAGAAATGGCTATGTTAAAGTTAAAGCATACACATCCACAGAGGCACCCCTTGACAAAGGAATTAGCATAGAATTTAGAATTGAAATAGCTGAGTGATTAGCTTGTGACTGGTCACAGAAGTAGCTATGTTAAAGTCGGAGCATACACATTCACAGAGGCACCTAGTACAAATCAAACAGGAGAATTTAGCATTGAAATAACTAGGAGAATTTAGCGTTGAAATAACTCGGAACAGAGGAGGGGAAGAGAGACAGCTGCGAGGCGCTGTTATACTCCATGTTGTAAACCATACCATTAACCGTGGTGTGAGAGGTATTAAGAGTCAATGCCAGCGAAAGAGCTGCGGTCTGAAGGTCATCGCGATCTGAGCGTGGCTTTTTCGCTCCAGCGCTGTCCTCCAGACAGTCTCGTCCCTTCACCTGATGAAGGCCGCTTGTGGTGTGGCCTAAACGTCGTGAGAATTGTATTGTGTTATTTTATTTTATCAATTTATTATTTTATTCTCATTCTACGTGACTTTACCGAAATAACCAAAGAAGATGAATCCTTGCAATCACGAAAGCTTTAAATCGAAACTTCTCCAAGTCATTGAGGTTTCGAGGCTGACGTTTGGCAACTCGAACCTTCAGCTCCCTCCACAGATTTTCCATGGGATTAAGGTCTGGAGACTGGCTAGGCCACTCCAGGACCTTAATGTGCTTCTTCTTGAGCCACTCCTTTGTTGTCTTGGCCGATTGTTTTGGGTCATTGTCATGCTGGAATACCCATCCACGACCCATTTTCAATGCCCTGGCTGAGGGAAGGAGGTTCTCACCCAAGATTTGATGGTACATGGCCCCGTCCATCGTCCCTTTGATGCGGTGAAGTTGTCCTGTACCCTTAGCAGAAAAACACCCCCAAAGCATAATGTTTCCACCTCCATGTTTGACGGTGGGGATGGTGTTCTTGGGGTCATAGGCAGCATTCCTCCTCCTCCAAACACAGCGAGTTGAGTTGATGCCAAAGAGCTCCATTTTGGTCTCATCTGACCACAACACTTTCACCCAGTTGTCCTCTGAATCATTCAGATGTTCATTGGCAAACTTCAGACGGGCATGTATATGTGCTTTCTTGATCAGGGGAACCTTGCGGGCGCTGCAGGATTTCAGTCCTTCACGGCGTAGTGGGTTACCAATTGTTTTCTTAGTGACTATGGTCCCAGCTGCCTTGAGATCATTGACAAGATCCTCCCGTGTAGTTCTGGGTTGATTCCTCACCGTTCTCATGATCATTGCAACTCCACGAGGTGAGATCTTGCATGGAGCCCCAGGCCGAGGGAAATTGACAGTTCTTTTGTGTTTCTTCCATTTGCGAATAATGGCACCAACTGTTGTCACCTTCTCACCAAGCTGCTTGGCAATGGTCTTGTAGCCCATTCCAGCCTTGTGTAGGTCTAGAATCTTGTCCCCGACATCCTTGGAGAGCTCTTTGGTCTTGGCCATTGTGGAGAGTTTGGAATCTGATTAATTGCTTCTGTGGACAGGTGTCTTTTATACAGGTAACAAACTGAGATTAGGAGCACTCCCTTTAAGAGTGTGCTTCTAATCTCAGCTCGTTACTTGTATACAAGACACCTGGGAGCCAGA